GCACCTCCACTCATATACACACAGACACATATGCATGCATATAATTGAAAATAATTTAATTAAATTTCTAAATGAATAATTTTTAATTATTTAAAAGGGCAAATGGTGTGTGCTTTTTAATTATAACACCCAGGAGACAGAGGCAAGAGGAACTCTGTGAGTTCAGGGCCAGCCTGGTTTACAAAGTAAGTTCTAGAACAGCCGGAGCTGTTATACAGAAAAACCCTGTCTCACTGGGGGGAAGGGGGGAAGGCAGATGGCTTAGTGGGGTGAAGGACTTGCTATACACATGTGGAGACTGGAGTTTGAGTTCTAGCACCCATGTAAACTCTAGGCGTGGTAGTCCACCAATATCCCAGCACGTTGGGCAAGCATATTAGTTAAACCAGCTAACTTGATGAACTGAGGGTTCAACTAAGAGACCACCTCAATATATAAGGTGAAAAACACTGAATATACAATCTCTGTCCTCCAAATCCATGCACACGCATGCCCACATACATGCGTACACACACTCACCACACACACATAATCTCTCAAAAATGTTGTTGCTGTAGTTGTTTTGAAACAGGGTCTCTCTAAGTTAGTCTTCAACTCACTCCGTAGTCAATCAGACCTTGAATTTAAGATCCACCTGCTTTGGTCTCCTGAGTAGCTAGGTCTACAGGCCTGAGCTGCCAGATCCTGCTCCATTCTTATAAATAGTGTGTGCATACAATTTCTTGTTTTATCAACTTAAACTTTACATTTAGGCTGCTGCTCCGTGGTCAGTACTGAGTTAGTACACATCCCATCGTAGTCTCTTCTCCCTTCATCAACATTTACAGTTCCTGTCTGGCTACCTCACTGGGGGTGAGCATGAGCATACAATGCCCTCTTTTCCATGACTCCATCATCTACAGACTGTTGTCCATGACCTCCACACACACTCTGAAAAATGAAAGCTGTCTAGGCCCTTGCTTTCCGGCAACTCTCCCCTCTCTCCCCTTTATGTCTCTTACTTGTTTGAATTGTCAGGTTGTCAAAGTAATAGGCATGGAGCTCTGTCCTATAATCAAGTTAGGCCTTCAAAACATTGATAGATTGATCCTATCAAGCAGCGTGGCCTCATTACAGGCTACAGGGATATTGGTGACTTCAGAGCCATGTGGGTTCCCATCGTTTCCTTTCCCTTCCTATAGACCTGCTTGTTTCCACAGCAGTTCTGGACCACTCTGACCCTGTGCTCATCACCATGCTTTCCTCTGCCCAGCTCAGACGGCTGCCCTTGTCCCCTGCTTTCCTCCTCAGAGCCGCTAGCTACCCTGTGGTCAGCTCTAGGCTGGCTGGCCTGTAGGTCCTCAGCAGCACTCACACAGGACCCCACCTCAGGATGGGGGATTGCACAGGTCTCTTCCTCTGATGTCAGGCTGGGCCACGTGACCTGGTTGAACCAAATTACTACATGTTCCACTTCTGGTCTGATAAGTTTTTAAATTTGCATTTCATTATTTACTTTGGATGTTTGTCATGCATGTGAACCCTGTGCTACAGGGCATTGTGGAAGCCAGAGGACAACTTTCAGGGCTCTGTTCTCTTCCTCTGCCAAGAGGGTCAGCAGACCTTATGACAAGTGCCTCTGGAGTTTCTTTTGAAAGTTTTATTATGGGGACTGGAGAGACGGCTCAGAGGTTAAGAGCACCAGCTGCTCTTCCAGAGATCCTGAGTTCAATTCCCAGCAACCACATGGTGGCTCACAACCATCTGTAATGAGATCTGGTGCCCTCTTCTGGTGTATAGACATACATGCAGGCAAAACACTGTATACTTAATAAATAAATCTTTTTAAAAAAATCCATGGGGCTGGAGAGATGGCTCAGAGGTTAAGAGCACTGACTGCTCTTCCAGGGGTCCTGAGTTCAATTCCCAGCAACCACATGGTGGCTCATAACTATCTACAATTCAATCTGGTGCCCTCTTCTGGCATGTAGGCAGAACACTGTATATGTAATAAATAATAAATAAATAAAATCTTTTTTAAAATCCATTTTTAAAAAGTTTTATTACACCAGGCCGTGATGGCAGCACATACCTTTAATCCCAGCACTGGGGAGGCAGAGGCAGACGAATCTCTGTGAGTTCGAGACCAGCCTAGTCTGCAAGAGCTGGTTCCAGGACAGCCTCCAATGCCACAGAGAACCCTGTCTCAAAAAAAAACACAAAAACAAAAACAAAAAGTTTTATTACACCAGGCGGTGGTGGCACATGCCTCTAATCCCAGTGTTGGGGAGACTGAGGCAAGCAGATCTCTGTGGGTCCGAGTTCCAGGACAGGCTGCAAAGCTACAGAGAAACACTGTCTCAAAAAAATGGTTTATTACATTTTTGGGGGAAGCACATGCATGCTGAGATGTCTGGGGACACCATGTCAGGTGCAGGAGATGACCTCAACAGGTCATGAGATCCAGAGGAGGCAGTGTCATAGAAGAACAGGCTGTGGGGTGGCAGAGACAGAGAAGACAAGGGGCAGCATGGAGAAGGCAGAGGCTGGCCCTGGGGAGGGATGACCTGCTCACACCCGGTACCATCCAGCCCTCCCCTAGACCATCCTTTTCCCACTTCCCTTGGGGCTTCCCCCATGAAGCCTGGTGGCCTCTGAAGGCAGTGCCCGGCATGTCACGCTCCTGCCTGGAGCCCTGGGTAACCGGTCCCATGAAGCCTGGTGGCCTCTGAAGGCAGTGCCTGGCATGTCACGCTCCTGCCTGGAGCCCTGGATAACCGGTATCACTCTACCCACCCTCACTGTGGCTTTCTCTTCCTCCTGGCCACCTCCGACGTAACTCACTCAGCTGGCCCCTCAGCTTCTGCAGGGAGTGACACTGCTCTCCACAGTGTCCCCAGTGCCACAGCCAGTGTCCAATAGATACTTCGGTGAATGGGCGAATAAATGAGTAAAACGAGAGCCTTCCTGTCCAGCACAGGAGCCTTTAGCCACGTGTGGCTCCTCAGACACAGAGAAAAGTCAATGCATTCAAAAGACAGCTGCTGAGTCCTCAGAAATCCAAGGTGGTCGGGGCTACCACAGAGGACAGCCCAGGTTGGGATATGTTAGCATTTCAGAAGGCTCTAGAGTAGTAGTCCTCAATCTTCCTAATGCTACAACCCTTTAATACGGTTCCTCATGATATGATGACCCCTACCACAAAATTACTTTCACTGCTACTTCATAACCATAATTTTGCTACTGCAATGAATGGTAATTCAAATATCTGTGTTTTCCAACGGTCTTAGGCAACACCTGTGAAAGGGTCATTCAATCCCAAGGGGTCAGGACCCTCAGGTTGAGGACCGCTGCTCTAGGACCACTGCCCTAGTGTCAGGGAAAGTAGATGAGGGCTTGTGGAGCAGAGAGCACAGCCTGGACCAGGCCCCAAGTACACGAAATATGGTGACACGTGTCTGGGAGAAATAGGGATACAGCACTCCTTCTTTGCACCAACCTATTGGTTGTCAGAATGTTTAGCTTTAGGCAACAAAGGATATAGGAACAAGAAACGTCCTCTGGAGACCAGCAGGGCCCATTCATCCCTATTAGAGTCAAAGAATGAGTCTGAGGTGATAGCTCAGTGGATGTGGTGTTTGCACACAAGTTTGAGAACCTGAGTTTGAATCCCTAGCACCATGTAAAAAGTCAGTGTGGTCCTGCATACTTGTAATCCCAGCTCTGAGGAAATGCTAGGGGAGACTCCTTGGGGCCTCACTGGCTTGCTAGCCTAGCCCACTTGGCGAATACCAGACCACTGAGAGACCCTGTACCAAACAACAGCCAAGGCTGTCCTCTGACCTCCACCTTCCCTGTGTGCACATCTGCACGTGCGCACGCGCACACACACGAACACACACAGACACACGAAGCAGAGGCTGGCCCACAGGGGGAACGCCCTACCCAGGGTCCCAGAGGAAATCACATGAAAGACACCAGAACCCAGGCCTCCTGATTGCCAGAGTATGGAGTCCGTTTCCCCCTCCCAGACTCACATGTATCTCCTCCGCCACCCTCCCCCCCTCCAGACTGGCAGGCACACAGAGCCCCCCCAGGCAGGTCACATCTCTTATTTACCCCCCACAGCAGCCCCCAGCATCTGACCCTTAGAAATGTAGACATCCCAAGGAGAATAGCTGCTTATAAGCATTTGCTAATTACACGTATGGATGTCAATTAATTCATTTTGCTAATTAGCCACTCGATGAGCACCATGCACCAAAGAACTGTAAAACACAGGCATATGGTGAGAGAGGGGGATGGCTGCGTGTTCATGCGGCATGCAGGGGCTGGGAGGGCGCGGGTGGTCCTGGTTCCCCCACTCCCAGATGAGCGGCTTAATGGCTAGGGGAGCCCTGCCGTTGCTGCTGCCGTAAAGCATAATTACAGCTTTCCACTAATAGTGCTGGGAAAACGCTTGCACACTCAGCCATGTGCAGACAAGCGCCCAGGCATGCCCACGCAGTTCTGTTTACATATCCGCCCTTGGTGCACACAAACATAGCACGCACACCCCCGTATGCTCAGTGTGAATACGCACACACAACACATATGTGGACCTGTGGGAACCACAGTGACGTCCTAGCCCAGTGCCACCGAGTGGAGGCTACAGGGTGGCCACTCACTGCACTTTGTGCCCCCCCCCCCAGGATCAGTATTGATATATACAGTATTTCATCAATGTGCATACAACTCCACCAAGAGTGAACTGTCATACTTTATAGATGAGGAATCAGGCTCAGTGAATCTCAAACAGTTGTCCAAGGCCATGCAGCAGGGAGGGCTGAGCCAGGACTCACACTCTTGCGTCCATGACCAAATCCTGCAGCCAGAGAAAGAGGGTTCCATCTGCTTAGAGTTGGTGGGTTTGGGGAAGAATGCATGCTTCGGGAGAGAAATGGCTCTTCACAGGCTTTGTCCCTCGTGGATGAGAAGGAAAACCAAACACAAATAAGAAAGCGTCGGTGAGAGACACACAGTTGAAACTCTTTTTTTAAATTTTTTTAGATCACACTTATTTATTTCATGGGGTTAGGGATATGTACCACAGTGTCCACATGGAGGTCAGAGGGAGGACAACTTGTGGCTGGTTCTTCCTTCTACCTTGTGAGTCCCAGGGTTCAAACTCAGGTCATCAAGCTTGGCGGCAGGCACTTTTACAGACTGAGCCGTTTTGTGAGCCCACGCACCTGTGATTCTAACTAGCAAGGCCTTGGGAAAGGAATATCCCAGCAGGCTTCACTCTGAATCAGCTCTGGCCCACCCTAAACCAGTGCGCATGGTGAATCAGGCCCAAGATACACAGACCGTCACGGGAGAGCTGCAGCTGAGCAGAGCAGGCGTCCAGCCCCCTAAGTGTACATTGCCAAAGCAACCCAGAGCCAGGCAGGTAGGCAGGTGCTAGCTATGGCCAGGGATCCCAGACCATCAACGCAGCTTCTCCGCAGGGCTGCTTGAGGGCTCCTACAGCAGCCAGGTATGGCTCAAGGCTGGAGAGAGCACAGAGGCACCGTCCTGGGTCACTTTGGACACTGGCCGCACAGGGAGCCCAGAACCTTCTAGTCCAGGCAACTTTAGGCTATGGAAGAAGCGGTGGGAACTGGAGCACGACAACTTGGCCCAGGCGTCTTCCTGAACGAGAATGGCAGATGACAGTCAAGGGTACGGAGCTGGCCATGCCTGGAGGGAAAAGAATGCTATTTCTGAGCACAAAAGATTTTTGCGGGGAGGCCACCGAATGAGAGGAAACATCTCAGAGGGGATCTGTCTGAAGTAGTTGGTTGGTCCAGGAACTTCAACAGTGACCAAACATGACTACCATCATGGCTAAGGAACAAGATTGTGAAGATTTATCTTACTCCGTGTTTGGATTTCTTTATTCATAATCACATAAAATCAACAGTAATAGTGACAGTGTCCCTGAGGGAGAATTCGGTCCCCTGGACTCCCTCAGCCTCCACCCTAGGTCCCACATTTTTTCTGCTGGATGATTTCTCCAGCCAAGCCATGCATACTAATTTGAAATACTACAGAATCTAGACCTGCACATGGGGTCAGGCTCACCGCACAACTTAGGTGCTCACCAGCGCCCCCATGTATGCCTGACTTAAGATCCAGGAAATCTGGAACACCCTACTCACAGTCCAAGGTTACCATGCCATGACAGTGTGGAAACTCCTTGGCTTGGCGTCAGCATCCTCCAGGAAGAACATCCAGAGAAGAGGTAATCTCCACCTGCTATCGCCACCCATGCTTCCCACCATGCTGCCCCTCTGCCCAGAAAGCTCATGGACTTTGCTTCTGTGTGTGTTTCCAGGCATGCCACAGAACACTGAAAAGAAGACCAGACACACATTCCAGCCTCACCCACCCCCAAATCATACAGGCTGGCTGGACTGTCCTGCAACCCCTCCTCTAACCCACCTTGTCACAGATCAACTCCCTTGTGGATCCTAGGTGAATACCCATGCCCTGACTCTCCACAGCACGGAGAACCTGAGGCAGGGCTTCAGTTCTAGCCCAGGCCAAGCGTGGGAGCAGGGCTCAGCATCTGTGGATGACTGGGTTTATAACTGACCCAGGAGCCAGGAAAGACAGAAAGTCTAGAGAGCAGAGTTGGTTACAGGTCTCTCCTCACCAGATGTGGTGTCCCTAAGTGTAAGCTCTCACCCACCATCTTACTCCAGGGAAACAGCGCTCTCCCTGGCCACTCTGGCCCTTCTAAGGCACCCCTGCTCTATGGAAGCCATCAAAACTGTGGAAGGAGGACCCGTAAGAGGCTCAGTGAATAACAGCACTTGTCACTAAGCCTGATGACCTGAGTTCAACCCCCAAGGCCTACATGGTGAAAGGAGAGAGCTGACTCCCAAAGTTATCCTCCAACCTCTGCACACACACTGTGCACACGCAAAATAAAGTAAGTAAGTAAATTAGCTGGGCGTTGGTGGCACATGCCTTTAATCCCAGCACTCTGGAGGCAGAGGCAGGTGGATCTCTGTGAGTTCGAGGCCACCCTGGTCTACAGAGGGAGTTCCAAGACAGCCTCCAAAGCAATACAGAAAAACCCTGTCTCCAGGGAAGAAGGGGGGAATAAAGGCAGAAAGGAGGGAGGGAGGGATACCCTGTGGAAGGGTAGGGGGTGTAACTTGACAACAGCACTTTCTTAGAATGCTGAATTCAAGTCTCAGTACTGGGGAAGGAGAAGAGTGGAGAATAGGAAGGGGAGGAGCCGAGACGCCTTTGAGGTGCATAGGGGTGTCAAAGAACAAATTTCAGAGCCTGTCCATAGTCCACGTGGTAGTGTTTTTGAGACAGGATCTCACTATGTTGCCCAGGCTAACCTTCTTTCCATCTTCCTGCCATGCCCTGCACACCATAGGTGCTGGAACTGCTCTTGAAGGGGGGCACCCTTGGGAGCAGCAGGCAAGTGGACCAGCTGCTTCTAGGAGTAGTCTTGGGTAGAATGCCAAGAACCAACCCTATGGGTTGATCAGCACTGCCACGTTCTTTCTGAGTAAGACTGGGCCAGTTATTTCCTCTTTCCCCACGCTGTTGGTGTCAGAGGATGAAAACAGGCCCTATTTCAAGGGCTAGGCAAGCAAGTATGGAGGGTGCATGGGAGTACCTGGTAAGCAGGAACATCTGACCCAGCGGAAGGCATAGCCCCCACCCCCGTTAGCAGAGACCTGAGGGAATGCAGGTGCACACACCTGAAGAGGCAGGCGCTGAGCTGCCATGAAGATTCTTCTTGCTCTGATTTTGTTTTGCTTTGAAACAGCACCTTACCTTGCCATCCAGAATGACCTTGAACTTGTGGACCCCAGATGCAAACCAGGACAAGCATGTAAAAATGGATGGGTGTGTGTGTGTGCCATGACACTCCTATGGAGGCCAGAAAACACCTGTGGATTCTCTCCCTCTCTCCACCTTTCATTGAACTCAAGTTGCCAGGCTGCAAGGTAAGGGCTTTTACCTGCTGAGCCCTCCCAGCCTGCAGCCTTGGTTTCCTAAAGCAGGCTAGACTAAGTTCAAGTGTTTGTTAGACATGTTAAATACATGTTTGATTTAGGTTGTTTTCTAGATAACCCTCGGTTGAGCAACATCATATGTCAGGTAAAAGTTTAAGAAAAACTAGCTGGGACTTGGTGAAGGGAATTGGAAGGTAGAGGTGGTCTATATAGTGAGTTTCAGGCCAGGCATGGCCATGTAGCAAGACCCTGTCTCAAAAAAAAAGTTTAGGAAAAATTATTCAGGGGCACTGGAGAATTTCAGGTGATCAGATCAGTGCAGAGGGAAAGGCAGGACCGGTGTTGTGCCTGAGCAGGGATCCATGCAAGTCTCTTACCTTCCTGCCTGTTCTTATTTCAGGAGCTGAGGACAACGGCACAGCTGGGTCAGAAGTCAGCCTGGAGAGGTGGCTCAGGGATCAACAGCATTGGCTGCACTTCCAGACGACTCGAGTTTAATTCCTAGCACACACATGATGGGCTACATTCCAGTTCCAGAGGTTTTGACACCCTCTTCTGGCCTCCACAGATACAAATGTGGTACACACAGACAAAACACTCATACACATAAATAAATAGTAAGTTAGCCTGGAATGGTGGTACATGCCTTTTATCCCAGCACGGGAAGGCAGAGGCAGGTAGATCTACAGGGCGAGTCCCAGGACAGCCAGAGCTACATAGTAAGACCCTGTCTCAGAAAAAAAAAAAAAAAAGAACAAAAAAAAAAAAGGCATCTTCTGAAGCCCTTCCAGAAGGCAAGTCGGAAGGGTGAAGCTAAGCTACCACTAGAGTCAAGTTCAGTTGCTCCGGAATTCAGGCAGAAGTGACACCACTGAAATTAGTTTCATCCACATGAATGGGTGGTGGAAACCCCACTTAGACATTTGTCAACCAAGCACAGATCTGGATATGGAGATCCAACTCTTTCATTTCCCAATCTTCCTCCCTGCTTTTTAAATTTTCTTTCTGTCTCCCTTTACAGTGTTCATTTAGTTACTGTGTATGCATGTGTGGACATCCCATACCATGGTGTAGATCTGAAGGTCAGGTGACTAGTGGGGGTCCATGCTCTACTTTACTATGTGGGTCTCAGGGTTTGAACTCTGATCATCAGGCTTGGCTGCGGGCACTTTTACTCACTGATCCATCTCACTGGTCCTTCCTTGTTAACTGTCAGGATTCTTTTGATCTTTGATAATACCTCTTGAGAAAGGGTCAGTTGTTTGGGGATAACTGCATTGTTTTAACGATACATTGAATTCCCCAAGATCTTTTTTTTTTTTTTTTTTTTTTTTTGGTTTTTCGAAACAAGGTTTGTCTGTGGCTTTGGAGGCTGTCCTGGAACTAGCTCTTGTAGACCAGGCTGGTCTCGAACTCACAGAGATGCGCCTGCCTCTGCCTCCCGAGTGCTGGGATTTAAGGCGTGTGCCACCACAGCCCAGCTCCCCGAGGTCTTTTTTTTTTTTTTTTTTTTTTTTGGTTTTTTTCGAGACAGGGTTTCTCTGTATTGTTTTGGAGGCTATCCTGGAACTCACTCTGTAGACCAGGCTGTCCTCGAACTCACAGAGATCCGCCTGCCTCTGCCTCCCGAGTGCTGGGATTAAAGGCGTGCGCCACCAACGCCTGGCTCCCCGAGGTCTTAAAGATACCTTGCCACTCTGGTTGCTTTTATTAATGTCATTCTTCCATCTTCAACTTAATTTCTAATTGAACACTGCTGAAGTTCAACATCAGCAGCTATCTGGAGACTAACATCAACAGTTATCCCAAGTCCAGCATTAGCCACCAGGTCTGCCAATAGGGCTGTCTCCTTGTCTCCACGGCTCAGCGCCTAAGTGACAGCCTGGTCCCCTGATCCCCTTCAACACATCTAACAATCTCTTTACTTGCTCAACCACAGGTTTCTCAAGTCTTCTGCACCCTTGTATCCTATTTCCCCCAAAAAGAAATGTGAAGATGGTTGCTCAGCACTCAGGATACTGAGGCAGGAGGATATCACGCTCAAAGCTAGCCTGGGCTACATAGCAAGACCCTAGCTAAGCAAATACATATGCAAGCAGAGTGGACAGTCCAGGACTGCACTCAAGGGTTTGTTCTGGAGACAAGGCAGCCAGGGTCCCTGCTCAAGTGATGCATAACGAATGCTTCAGTGGGGACAAGGGGGGGGCGCTTAGTCAATAAACAAGGAGCTCTTAGTTGCCTCCTACAAGGACAACCTTGTCACTAACATGATGGGAGATGACCTGGCTGTAGGGCTTCCTCTGGGCCAGGAAAGATTAGGACCAGCCTTGCTAATGAGGTGTAGCAGTCAGCAGAGAGAAATTATCACAAAGGGAACGACGCTCGCAGAGGCTGGGAGGAGAGGGCAGAGGCAGCAGAGAGCAGAGCAGAACAGGGTGCAGTGTGGGAAAACAGTAAGGGTGGGTGGGGTCGGCACGGGAGAATGGACTGCCTGGAACACGTGGCTTTAGGTCCTCTGATGTGGGGCATGAGCAGAAAGGGCCTGGCCCACCTCTGCTCCAATCTTCACTCATCCCGCATGCCCATCAAAGCTTTGCCAAGCAGGGTGGTGCTCCCTTGGGGAGGTGGGTAGACTCAATGAGGCTCTGAATTCATAGGGGACAGCAGGTACAGACATGCAGTGGACCTCAGACAGGCCTTGTCTCCTCCCCCACTGCTGGAAAGGTTCTCTGAACTTCCCCAACCACCCAGAGACAAGGTTTGCAGGGCTCTCCCTTCTGCAAAGGGGAATCTGGAAGACACCTTTGGCAGCTGGAGCCCAAGGCCTCCACTACCTCCAGGGAGGCGTGGAAACAGCACTCTATAGTTGAGCACACAAGCGGTCCATTTTGCTCTGACACCTCATCCTACCTAGGTGCCTTGACAAGTCACTCCATGCCTCAGCTGGTACCAGTTCTAAGGAAGGTGAGCTGGCCATGGCACCTGTGATACAGTCCTAGCCCTGCACCCGCAGACCCCGCCTGCAGCCACAGCTCTATGAACAGGGCTTTGTTTTCCTCATTCTGTCAGAGAAGGTACTTGGTATTTTGCTAGTTTGGCCATACCAGAAGATAGTGTTGAAATCTAATCCCGGTTGTGAGGCACCAAGAGAGTGGCACTTTAATCAGGGATGCTGTTCAAAGGTAGGCTTTGGGCCTACAAGACGTCTCCGTGGGTAAAGGTGCTTGCCATGCAAGTCTGACAACTGAGTGCAATCCCCAAGACCCTCAGGATGGAAAGAAAGAACAGACTCACGAAGTGTTCTCTGACCCCCACACGTGTGCCACACACATTCACATACACAATAAATAAATGTAGTTTCAAAAATAAAGGAAGTGATTGGATTAGAGAAATCCATCAGAATGGAACCCTATGATCGAATCCTGATGGCTTTAGAAGGGGCCAGAACACACACACACACAGAGAGAGAGAGAGAGAGAGAGAGAGAGAGAGAGAGAGAGAGAGAGAGAGAGAGAGAGAGAGAGAAAGGGACTCTTACCACATGATGTCTTGCATCTTGGGACACTGCCAGCAGAAAAGCCATCCCCAGATGTGGCCCATGACAGTAAACCAGAAATGAAACCAAAATAAACCCCTTCTCTTCTCACCTCACCCAGTCTGTGGTGCTGGGTCGTTGGCAACAGAAATCAGATTGAGACAACTCTCAAGAAGCCTGAGTTAGTCATACCATCGTCTTCTCCCAGGTGTGAGTCAGCGGAACAGCATCTTCAGCACTTGTAGTTTAGGGCCATATCTCGATAAGCACCTTCTGGGTGGCAGGCCTGGGCTCAGGAAAAAGAGCAACAGAGGGCAGGTATGAAGAATGAGTGGGTTTCCTGGAGAGAGGAAAGCATCCCACACCCTCTATGCAGAAAGCAAGGAAAGTGAGGCCTGTGGACGAAGAATCCAGAACTACAGGTGAGCACTCTGGAGGCAGAGGCAGGGGGATGGCCAGCTTGGTCTACAGATGGAGTTCTAGGACAGCCAAGGCTGTTACACAGAGAAACACTGTCTCACACACACACACTCACGCATGCACGCACTCACGCGCACACACACACACACAACCTACAGGGGCGGTGGTGCACACCATTGATCCCAGCACTTGGGAGGCAGAGGCAGGGGAATCTCTGTGAGTTGGAGGCCATACTGATCTACAGAGCAAGTTCCAGGACAGGCAGGACTACAAGAAGACACCCTGTCTCAAAACAACAATACAAAAAAAGAAAAACTACAGGTGCGGCCCGTGGGTGCCGGGTGCTGTCTCCCGGTGCTTGTCCGGGGCATTGTCAGCTCAGTTGCCCAGGAGGTCTGCCCTAGTGTCTGGGCTGCTGACACAGAGCAGAGCTTCACAAGCTTTGTCTCTACACTCCACCGAGCCTCACAAACCGTCTTCATCACCATTTAAAAATGGAAAACAGTCCACCTCTAGAAGGTAGCTGGATGGGATTTGAACCTAGATGAGTTTGAATGCAAGGGCCTTATCTGTCGTGACAAGCCACAGAAATTCAACCAAGGAAGCTAACCAGGAGGGGCAGGCAGACCGAGGCTCAGCGGCGTGAGATGTGGGTGAGGGTCACTCAGAGATGGGGGAGGCAGCGTCCTCTGAAGCCCAAGGATATGGAGGGCTCTGGCGGGAGGGAGCAGGGGGAAAGGAGGGGTCGTTCGCAGGCTGCAGAGCCATGGCTCCCCCTCCACCTCTCCAGCGGATCGCTCGCCCAGGCTTTGCAAGTCACCCCTCCCGAGAAGCACAGACCGCACCCCCACAGACACCCCCTCGCCGCCCGCCAGCCCAGTCTCCCTCCCGGAGCGGCCGGAAGCCGCAGTCGCTCTGCAGACACCCCCTGGTGGAAACAGCTCATTACGGGATGGAGAAAATGTGCTAGAACATTAGCTTAATAAATCAAACGCTCCCGCAGCAGCCAGCCGCCGCGGCTCGGCTAGGCGGGGCCACGGCGCCCACGCCCGCTGGGCTGGGTGGCCGGGGTAGGCGCCCGTCGCAGCTCCCTCCTGCCTGGTGGAGGGAGGCGGGCACCCCACACCCTCCCGCCCCAAGCCCATCTAGGTCCCAGGCTCCTGACTTGACTCCTGACACTGGCCTGTGACTAGATCAGGATATCCCAAGAACCTCAGGCCTCCAGTGAAGCAAAACAGACCCTTGACTGGGGGCCAACCAATGGCCTGTGCCCTCACTAATTCACTACAGCCTTTGAGATGCACGCAGCCCTCCCCTTTTTTCAGAACGATGACCCTGGCAGCCTGTGGTTACTTTCAGTCTGGCCTCCCCTCTGGCCGTCAGCGCCAGCTGTGACCACACACACACACACACACACACACACACACACACACACACACACACACACACACACACTTGCACCTATAGAGGGTGTTTTACCAGAAGAAAAACCTGTTGCAAAGCTAGCCCTGTGGCTTGGCTGGGCAATAGACAAGCTCACCTCACCCAGTGCCTATTGGACTGGCCATTCCCTAGACTCTGGAATTGACAGAGGTGGGCAGGAAGTTGCTGAGGACCCGGAACCGCTGGGTTTCTGCACTGGTTGGGCAGGGGACTGCTGAACATTAACCCTCCCAGCTTCTGCTGCCACCTTCTTGGAGAGTTGGCCTACATGCCCTTTCTCTTCCAGTCCGGGCTTCTATTCTAGCACTGGGCACCTAGGGAGCAGAACTCTGACCTCCACTGCCTCAGTTTCCCCCTGTGTACAAAGCTAGGCCCTCAAGATCCTAGAAGGTTCTACTTGCCTCTGCACTGTCTCCTTGGCCTAGGCAGGGAGGGTTGAACTGCCAGGGTTCCTTGTGCAGGGAGAGCTAGTCTTCAGAGCCATTCCTCCTGCTCTCTGGGGGTGGAGGGAGGGAGAGGAAAAAATTCAATTACCAGACCTTCTATTTGTCAACTCCTCCCTCCCCATTGACTTAATTTTCTTCAGCCAGACCTAGAGTCAGAGGAGGCATGAGTGAGCCTGCAGGCCTGGAGAGGGAGGGAGGGAAGGGTGGGGGAAGGGGCCCCAAACAGATGTGAGGATGGGCTATTAACACACCAATCCAGGAAGCCTTTGGTGGGACAAGAAAAGGAGAACTTAGTAGGTGTGCAGGTAATCTCTGGGTCCCCAGCTCTACCAAGGCACAGAGCACCTTCTCCAAGGACCCTTTCTGAAGCTCCCAGGCTGGGCTGGGGACACTTTAGTTCCCCAAACAGCATGCTGACATGGCTCTGTTAACTTTCACTCTATTCTATTGTTAACAACTCCCCCAGCATTCCCCTCTCGTGTGTGTGTGTGTGTGTGTGTGTGTGTGTGTGTGTGTGTGTGTGTGTGTGTGTGTGTACATGATGTGGGTGCTATTTTAGGTTTTATTTTATTCTTATGTGTGTGTTTGGGTGAATGTATACCACATGTATGTGGGTGGCCCCCACAAGCCAGAGGAGGGCATGGGAGCCCCTGGAGCTGGAGTTACAGGCAGTTGGGAACCACCTGGTGTGGGTGCAGGGAGCTGAACTGAACCAAAGCCCTCTGGAAGAGCAACACATGATCTTAACCACTGAGCCATCTCTTCAGCCACACGACGTGTGTGTCTGAGTGTTGGTGTGCCCAGGCCACAGGGCAGAGGTCAGAGGACAACTTTCAGGAATCTCTTCTTTCTCTCCACTTTGCTGAGGCAGTCTCTCCTGTTTCTGCCACTCCGTGTTCTGCAGGCTGGCATGCCTGTCAGTGTCTTCCATCCTGATGTGAGAGTATTAGGATTACAGATGTGCACCACCACATCAGGCTGCTGTGGACTCCACGGGCTCAACTGAAGTTGTCAGGATTCTCACTGGTCCATTCATTCTTTGGTTTTTAGAGACAAGGGTCTCAGTCTACAGCTCAAGTTGGCCTGAAACTGAATAGTCAAAGATGGCCTCATGACAGTCATCCTGCCTCGGCCTCCAAAGTGCTGGGGTTATAGATATGCTGACAATATACCTGGCCTTTTTTCTCCTTTTAGAGTTCCACTGTATGGCCCAGGCTGGCCTCAAATTTAGGGCAGCCCTTCTGTTTAACCTCTGGAGAACTGATATTACAGATGTGAGACACCATGTCTGGCAACTTCCACTCTTTCATACATCAAATACCTGTGGTACATCTAGAACTTTCCAATGTAGGTTCTGGGAATTGAATAGAAAATGGCAACTGTTATCTGTCAGCAAGGATTAGGACTGCTGCGTAACAAGCAGCCCACACCTTCCAGCTTTAACAGCATTTGTTTTAAAAATCCTTCTCCTTGTAAGGAACTTGGAGGGGGCTCAGCTGGGCGTGTCTAGCTCAGGGCCCCATTGTACTGCAATCAAACAGCAGCCAGACATGGCCAGCAGGGGACTTCAGGAGCCAGGTAATGGCTAAGCACCTTGCCATTTGACTTAGCCTGGGACTTCTTCCTGTACCTTCTCTGCTTTTCTCACAGGATGGTGGTTTCAGGACAGTCTGCTGCTTACATGACATCTGGCTTCCACCACAGTGAACTCTCCATAACAGCGGAAGCGCCTGCAGTCGGGCATGGTGGTACAGGCCTGTAATCCAGCACAAAGGAATCTGAGGCAGGAGGTAGCTGAGTTCAAGACCAGCCTGATCTACATAGCAAAACCCTGTCCAAAGCAATGAACAAAAAGTAAAGAATGATGGGGGGGTTCATTTGAATTTGAGACAGCGTATCATTATATTCCACTGTCCTGGAATTCACAGTGATCCTCCTGTCTCATCTTCCCAAGGGCTGAGATGAAGGGAGTGTGTACCATCACACCTGATCCCTGATCTATCACTTAATCACCGTCTTCTTATACAGCTTTCCTGAGTGTTCATACTGTGTCTCCCAATGTGTAAATGACTCGGTTACATGTGCTCTTATGTCACAGTGCAGGGAAGGAGACAAACTCAACAGAGTAGAGTCACCTGAAGAAGCACATGAGATACTACATACAAGCTCTCCCTCCCACCCCCAGACTCTGCACGTAGCTCTTTCCCTGGCTCGGAGAAGCTTGACTACCAGGAAAACTTCCATGCTGTTTCAGGATGTACCCACCCCTCTTCTCAGGAGGGAAAGGCCCTACAGGTCCCCTGAGCAGCCTGAGGAACCTGGGTTCAGGAACTTGGGAGAACGGCAAAGCTCACTGGAGAACAGCTTGGACAAAGGGGGGCACTGGGAAGGGGAGGTAAGGAGGACAGAGGACTTAGGGGAGGAGGCGAGGTGTGAGAGATGAGGCCTAGGCATGAGCCTCTGCCTGGACGGGGATGTCCAATGTTCAAGTCACCCCTGTCTCTCTATAGTGTCCTCAAGATAAGAAAAGGGGGAACCACTCGCCACACCTCAGCCCTTCAAGCCAAACTGAACTAGCCCAGGTGTCCTCTGTGGCTGAATGGCCAAGCTGTACCAGTGACCCAAGAAACACAGTGACATGCCAGCACTCAACACCCATCACTGTGGCCACATCCCACCTCTCGGGGATACTGAGGACCGTGGGGTGTGGGGAGATATTCTCTCAGGGACTGCTAGTGGCTCAGCAGCAAGCAACCGGAAGGTATTTAGTAAAATAAATGAACAGGGACTATGAAGACGGCTCAGCAGGTAAAAGCGCTAATTGTGCAAGTCCAAAGACCTAAGTTAGATCCCTGGGATTCACATAAAAAACTGGATTTCAGGGGACTGGAGAGACGGCTCATCTATTAAGAGCACTTAACAGACGCTGCTCTTGCAGAGGACCGGGGTTCAATTCTCAGCACCCACATGGCAGTTCACAACTGTCTGATCAGGATCCAACACCCTAACACAGACATATACACAGGCAAAAGAAAAAAACTTCCAATATCAGCCTTACATAGCAAGACAGAAGACATAGATCAGGAGCTCACCACAAGAGTCAAGTCACACAGGGACTAGAGAGTTGGCTTAAACAGTTAAGAGGAGGACCCAGGTTCAATTCCCAGCACCCATGTGGCAATTCACAACTGTCCGTAACTCCAGTTCCAGGGGATCTGACACCCTCACACAGACATACATGCAGGTAAACTCCAACGTACATTAAATAAATAAATTTTTGAGAAAGCGAGAGCGAGAGCAAGAGAGAGAGAGAGAGAGAGAGAGAGAGAGAGAGAGAGAGAGAGAGAGAGAGAGAGAGAGAGATCGATCTGGGGCCCTATAACACACAACAACAGAAACAAGAGGAGAGAGACCCTTCTCAACACAGCAGAAAGCAAGAACAGACTCTCAAATGCTGTTCCCTGACCTCCATGTGTGTATTATGCCATGTGTGCATGTGCATGTACACACACACACACATTAACTAAGCAGATATGGATCTCCTAGGACACTCCCTACAGGACCTCAGGGGACATGGATCAGGGGCTTTGCCACAGACCTTAGAGAGACAGAAGCTGGAGGCTGCCACCAGGAGGACAGGTGAGGAGTGCTCACACTCCAACACTGCTACATTCACTCTAAGCTTGGAGAGGGCTTGTCAAGCAGAGAGTATGAAAAGGCTGCTCTGCGGAAGATCTTTAGCACCCAAACACCAGTCCCCAAGTTCCCAAAATACATACCGTACATCCTTAAGAACATAAGCAGAAAACGATGGAGCAGAGGCTTCTGGGATGAGGACCTGGAAGAGGAGACTCGGGAGGAAAGCAAAGGACAGAAGCAAGACCCCGTCCACGAGGTATTTCCTGTGAG